TCCTTTTCAAACCCAGTAAACGAACCGGATGTTGTAATGGTTTCATTCCATTTTCTTCAAAAGTTTACTTTCGGTCGTGCGCTATTAAAGTCAGTTGACAGGAGCTATTGTCTCGTTTAATAATAGCCGTCGATGAATGTGTCGACTTTCGCAATCACAAAATACACGTGGTAAGAGTTCAGGTGAAATATCTGCTGGTGCCATCGAAATTGCAAACAATTCATATACGTTTTTTTGAGAAATAAGACAATGATACGTGGAAATGTCTAAGAAAATATTTCAACTGGTTAACCCCCATAGCGAGTTGACCAGACCTAGTTCAATGAGCAAAGAAACACTGGAGACAAATTGGGAAAGTTGTTTTTTTTGCCAAGAAACGACATCAGAGGTACTAGAATGTCCAGCAAGGAAAAGCACTCACTTAGATAAAGGTTCAGGATACAAAAGCATTGCAGAACAGCTTAAAAGGTTTCAGGGTATTGGTGAGCTTCCTTCTTTCCTTGATACAAGGACAGGCTTAACAAGCAACGAGGTATTAGCTGGCAATCTCTTGCAAAATGAGGCTAAATTTCATAAGCGTTGCAAAAACAAATATGACGACTACCATTACCAAAGGGTATGTAGGAAAAGAAAGAAACAAACAGCTGATGTTGAAATCGCCCAGGCCCCACCTAGCACACGCCAAAGGTACAGCGCAGATAATTTCAAAGTTAGGTGTTTTTTTTGTGAAAAGGATGATTTGGAAGTGAATTTGACAAACGCTCAAACACTTGGCCTGGACAAGAATGTTCGTGACGCGGCAAAAGAGCTCTTCGATGAAAAACTCTTAGCCAAGTTAAGCGAAGGTGACATGGTAGCAGTTGAGGCCCGATATCACAAGCAATGCCTTGCCGCTCTTTACAACCGTCTGAAAAGCTTTCATCGAACAAAATCTGTTCACGAAACAGAGGACGCTATTAGAAAAGGGGTAGTATTGGCTGAGATTATTGATTATCTTAGGGACATGGTAGAATCTTCCAATAATATTTCCGTATTCAAGTTAAGCTGTATCAAAAAGCTCTTTTGCGATCGTCTTGTGGCGTATGGTGCTACTGCAGAAAGTGTAAAGAATGTGCACAGTACTCGTTTGAAGAATGACATCTTACATCACATCCCAGAGCTCGAGGAAGAAAAGCAAGGAAACAATGTTCTCCTAACACCCAAGGAAGAAACAGGTACCGCGATTTATCAGGCATGTCTAGAGAATGACCAGGATGATGGAATTTGCCTTTCTAAAGCTGCCAATATCATTAGGAAACATGTATTTTCGCATAAGATTGAGGACCCTGCCCAATTTCTTGCATCTCAAAAAGCTTCAGTACCCCCATCTCTTGTCACTTTCATCAGTATGCTCATTAGCGGAACATGCATAACTGATTCATTACCTACATCAGCACATAAGGCTTCACTCACAATAGCCCAATTAGTGAAGTTCAATATGGTGAAAGGTAAGCGGTCAAATACCACTAATGAAATAGCGCGCCATAGCAAAGAGCAAGAAACGCCGTTTCCACTTTACCTTGGGTTGATGATTCATTCTAAAACAAGAAAGAAAGGACTCGTTGGCCGCCTCGCAAAATATGGAATGTGCGTCTCCTACGATCGGGTACAGCATGTCCAAACCTCAATTGCAAAGAAAGTTTGCCAGCAATACCAGCAGCAAGGCATTGTTTCTCCACCGTGTCTGAAGGAAGGACTATTCACCACTGCTGCAATTGATAACATCGATCACAACCCTTCATCTGTCACAGCAGCCAACTCATTCCATGGCACCAGTATTTCGATCTTCCAGCACCCCGATTCAGAGATTCAGATGCATTTACCAGGTTTGCGAGAAAACGATCAATCTTCTAATGTAGAGCTAAAGCTTCCAGAAAGTTACACTTCACTTCCTTCAACCAAAAGTTTTGCAGCCGAATTTCCTTTGCAGTCAGTGAATCCTGATAGTGTCCTCACTAAACAGGCAACGGATGAATCTTTAGAATGGCTTTCAAATTTAAAGTCACTCAACGAAGGAAACAGCACTTTCGATATAAAAAATCGTTTATCATGGTCTGGATTTCATGCACACAGAGTCCGCGACACTCCAGTAAGGTCACTTTCAACACTACTTCCATTACTGAAAGATTCGGTAAATTCTTCTGCAATGGTACGTCATACGATGGACATTATCAAGAGCATTTTGCTAGGGTTAAATTCCAATCAAGCACCTGTTATTACTGCTGATCAACCAGTGTATGCTTTGGGAAAACAAGTTCAATGGATGTACCCAGCAATTTACGGGGAAGATAATTTGCTGATGATGCTTGGCACATTGCATATTGAGATGGCTTTTTTAGATGCTATAGGTGACTGGCTAGAAGGAAGTGGCTGGACAGAAATTTTAGTAAAAGCGCAGATCAATTCACCCGGCCGTGCAGAGTCATTTCTATCAGGGAGGCAAGTAAAGCGAGCAAGATACACACATCAAGTTTCTTGTGCAGGCCTGTATTTGCTACTCCAAATGGCCCATCTTCGAAGTAATTCCGGTCATTCATTAGAAAGCTGGACATCTAAACGCCTTGAAGAATCAGTCCAATTCAAGTATTGGCACAAAGTAATAGAATTGGAGTCAATTCTGCTTCTTTTGATTTATAGTGTTCGAGTATCGAACTTTGATATGTTTGTGAGTGCTCTTGAGCAGATTGCACCATGGATGTTCTCATTAGACCACACTCATTACGCACGATGGCTACCCATATTCATCAATGATCTCAAGCAATTGAAAGAAAAGCATCCCCGGATCTATGAAGAGTTCAAGAAAGGCCATTTCACATCAAAGAAGACCAAGAGAAAATTTTCTAGTATGCCCGAAGACCAGGCCCATGAGCAGAATAATAAGACTGTAAAGATTGATGGTGGAGCAATAGGCATTCTAGACAACGCAACTGCATTGATCAAGTGGATGATTGCAGGTCCTGAGATTGCAAGGTTACTTGAATTATTTGAAGATGCAACGGAAAAAGAGGATAAAAACCTCAGCCATCATGAAGACACTGATGCACATGAAAAGCGCTTTCGTCAAGATGTCATTTCATTCAAAAACATTTTTGAAGAGCTTGGCAATCCTTTTGAAGAGAATGATATACTTCTCAATTCTGTGTCTAGAAACATAATGAATGAAAGGGCTGCTGAATCAGTCCGGTTAGCCTCAGTTATTGGAGAGAACCAATACCAGCAATATGTGTCTGAAAGGCTTGTGAGGTGTAAAGTTTCCATCTATTCAGCGATCTCAAGAAACAAGCTCTCCTTGTTCAGGCAGAGAAATTCAATCACCAGTTCAAAGTCAAAGCTTCAAGCTATTTCATTAAAACAAGATCGCAAGCTATTTGCATCATTCTATGTTGCCTGCCAGTCGAGAGAAGGCGATCTTGGGAAGTTTTTCTCGCATGAAAATCATGCCTATCCTCCATCATTATCGGAATACGGCAAGCTAAGGAAAGGGAACAAAGCAGACGTTCTTAAAATCCTCGAAACATATGGCGACGCAAGATACGAGTGCCCAAAAACTACAGCCACAGTGATTGATGGTGCAGCATTGGTTCAAATGACTCTGCCAGGGGATGT